CCTGCTTCTCCCTCATACCCAGCAACCAAGTACCACAAACTATCTCTTCAATGGCAGAGCCCTCTTCTCCTCTGTTGACCTTGTCAATTTAAATAATAAAGCATGTCTTAAAATGTCCTTTTCCCTGACCTCCAGTCAAAACCAGGACCACCATCATTGTCTTAACAGGTCTATACCATCGCCTGCATAGATTCCAGAACAGTTGCTAGTGTATTAAGCCACTTATGAATATATTTTGTTGTCCATCCTGAGTGCTTTCTGTAGCGAGTCCCTAGATTCTAAAAATTCCACAATCTCCTCAAATATCACCAGCAGCTGGGATGCAAGTGTCCAAATACCTATGAGAGACATTTCTCATTCAAAATAGTACAAATACAGAGAGGAAAAGGGTTCAAGAGAGAAAAAAAAACAGTGAGGAACACTGAACATGACACGAAGACTGGAAATAATGAATACTTGTAGTCTTGAAGTAAATGGTAAACCCCTCTCCCAACCTGACCCTTCCTAGATGAGAACCCTATTCTCTAACTAAGCAGCTAGTCTTCCATTAAAGTCAGTTGTGAATTTGGGGCTTCAGAAATTAGATAGAATGAAACCAAACTGTGGTTTGTTCACAAGACTCCCCCCCTTCCCCCGTCATGCGTGGACAGCACAACATTCTAAATTCAAAAGCTGCCAGTACTCTTCAGTTTACAAATATTGCTTTAAGCTGCTGCCTTCTTATTTCTTGATTCTCAAAATAAACACAGTTCCAGTCTTCTTAGTTAGGGACACCAGACAACTTTATTATTTAGACAGGGCTTCTCAGTGATGACCTGACTGTCTTGAAACTCACTTTGTAGACCAGGCAGGCGTTGAACTCACGGAGATCGGAGATCCACCTGCCTCTTCCTGCTGAGTGCTGTGATTAAAGGAGTGTGCCACCACTGCCCAGCAAGATAGGGTTTTTCTTTGCCTTTTTCAGACCTAAACTAACATATCATAAATCTATTACCAGTATATTTCCAGCATTAAACATTTGTAATCTCTGAAATGTATTTTTTTAACTTGAAACTCATAAATAATTAAATGAAACTACAATAAGAAAGGTTAACATGATTAAGAGTAAAGGGATTATAAACATGCTATTATAATCTAAAATTTATAAGTAAATACAGCTGAAGGATGACATTCTCTAAACAAATGTATTCAAGGTGTTAAGTTCCATAAAGCAGAGGAATAAGATGTCTAGAAAGAGAGGCAGGCATTTCTCATTGCTGTTCAAAATCTTTATTTGAATGCAGCTGTGGACAGTCCAGCAGGCAGTTTTGGAGAAAATCCCACACAATACATGAAGGGAAAGCAAGAGAAAAAGCAGGAGTCTTTCTTCTGCCCCTTCCCACGGAGTCTTCACCCTCTTGACATAGAAACACTATGTGAAATCCGGCCTCATTTGATTTGTCTGTATTTAGTATAATTCACTGATTCACTGATAATTAGATGTGAGGTTGGTCCACATTTTCATAGTTCAGTCCTTATCCTGAATGTGGATCCAGTACAGTGAAAATCAGACAGGCCCAAGTCCCAACAGATATAGACTTAAGGTTCTGCTCTGGCATGAACTATAATTGCATAACTTCTCTAGATCTTGTTTCCTAACTAGGCACCTTTGTAGGAAATTAAATACTGACAGGACAGAAGCCTCACTTGACCTTGGCAAGTGCCCTTGTCCAACATGTACTGTTTTCAGTTCTTGATGCCACCTCACTATCAGAACATCCCAGGGTATTTTCTGGTTCCTGTCTATGTTGGTAAAGGTTGTTGTGCACTGGACTGATCCACAGTCAGGGGATCTTTGACCGTGAAACTCTTTCACTTCTTTTGCTTGAAATGTGTAAGAGGGTGAGGTGATGTGTTTTTTTTTTTTTTGATGGCTTATTAAATTAATCAGACATTAACATAAGTGCATAAAATAGTCTGTGAAGAACAGTAAATTGGTTTCTAAACCACCAAGATATGTCAAACCACCAGTGTTAAATATAGCAACAAAAAAAACCTTCAAATAAACCTTGTTAAGCAGCAATAACTACACAGAATGAAATATTTTCCATTGCACTTACAGTATAAAAACAGGAATCTCTGAAGTTATCACAGGAATATGTACATTTAAGCGTAGGCCATGTTCCTCCCTATTTTCTCTCAAACCTCAGTCCAATAAGACAATCGAACTCTTCCCCAAATGTCTTCAGTATACCAGAATGTGTGGTCCAAGATTATCATGTTATTCCATCCTCGTGAAAGTCTACCACAGCAGTGACATTCAACAAGCGCAACAATAGAAGCTGGTAGGCCAAGCCTAAAAATCCCCTTAGGCACTCCCCGTGTACGGTTAACTTGAAGTGGTTATTTAGCATGTACCATTTTCAGACTCCTTAGGAAAGGTGATAAACACAACGTGGATCGTCAGGAGAATAAGCAGACAAGATATGGACAACATTTAACAAACAACTGATAGTTTTTTTATAATACTTACCCTGTAAGTGTTTGCTAATAGAAGTGTTGAGTTTCTCCATGTGCCTTAAGTTCTCTAACTATATGCACATTCAGTAAGCACAAACTCTTTCTACGCCACTACGCTCTTCTGAATGTGTCCTGTTCAGTACACCAGACACTGCACGGCAGTGTAAAACTAATCCTTACAACCCTAAAATTATAGGTACTTTGAGAGCCCCCAGTATAGCCATAAGCAAGAAACGGGGTGGTGATTTTGTTAGTTGGTTGGCTTGGAGAGATTTGGGAGTTATATTTTTTTGTGATTTTTTTTTTTTAAGGACATCTGATGTTACTTTGTAGTTCAAGCTGGCCTCAAGCTCACAATTCTGTCGCCTCCGGCTCCAAAGTGCTAGGATTGCAGGTGTGGTCCCCAGGGCCAACAAGATTATATTTTCATTGTGAAAATAGAAATGAAGAATAAACTAGTGTTGTGAAGAAGGAGAAGAAAAGCTTCAAGGTGGCTGGTTTTGGAGGTGTGGGTGTCTCTAGAAGCAGGCAATGGAGTTCTGAAATGAGGTATGATGTTGGTCTGTCTGTGAAAAGTGATGTACCTTGTGGAACCAGGATGAGTCTGAGAAGAAGACCTTCAGAGGCTTCACAGAGATCATAGAAACTGGGACTCACAAGGAGGCCAGAGACTGCAGGAGGCACATCACCCAGAAGTGAAAGGAGAAGGGAGGAGCTAAACCTGAGTTCCCATGAACAGAGAACTAGTTACCTCTGGCCTAGAAGCAGAACTATTTTAAGAAAAATAGCCACGTAAGTATAACTTTTTTATTTTTTTTTGAAATATATAAGCTTTGTATGAAGGACAGATAATGTTATAACTCAATAAATGTCAGCCGCTTCAATTTAGGAAACCACTAATGATCACAAGGGCAATTTAGCATACCATGTTAGTGTGTTGTCTACATGGCTACAAGGATTGTTTTTAAATATCTCTAAAAGACAAAGAAGAAATAGAAACTTGGCGGTGTCTGCCCAAGGAATGACTGCTCTTTCTGATGAGCAGAAAGCATACTAACACGAAGATAAGAGATATTTGATTGCCAGATTAATATATTTCTCAACCCACCAAAGCCCTATAACTTAAGGTAACATTCTTAAACTTGAATAGGAAATGTATCTATCCTAGGACTGTGATGATTGCCCGAAGCTAAAATAGAAGAGAATGAAACAGGCCCTGAATGTGAAGCAAAGGATGCCATCGTTTTGTCTGCATGCACTGGGGGTGTGTGACCTTGAACTGATTGCAGGAACCCGCATACAAGTTTTGACTTCAGGAGGAGCTAAGACGAGAGCTGAACTACAGAGCTTTTACCTGAGTTCTAGTTAGTCCTAGAAGACTCCAGAGTTAGTGTAAGTCAAAATCTGCTGTCGGACAGTTACCCATATTTATATCTGCATCTTTGCTTCTCTAAATTTTATCCTTAAAACCTTTAAGATAGTTAAAGGTCATGCAGTTTATATAAACATTGCAATGTAGGTTGTTTTTTTTTTTTATTATTATTATTTTAAGTCTAAATACCACAGTCTGGGATTTGTCTGTCTTTTAGCTTTCCATATTTAACCGAAGAGGCCCCAGCCCTGCAGATCAGGCCTCTACCAACATCAAAAGGTACTGTCTGCAAAAGAGGCAGACACATCTCCTGGGAAATACTTGTTTATTGCTTCAGTGAATTTGAGTGGCAGAAGCAGTCCAAGCGGACTGGCGAGGCAGCCCATCTACGAATCTACTAAGACATTTACAATGTAAATCTGTTTGCTGTAGCCCAGTATCTTAGTCACTTCATCACCACATCCCTTGGGTCTGCTACTCACATACATGAACTTGTTTCTCACCCTCTAGTTTTCTAAATTTATGCCAACAATTTTCTTAAGAAACCTCTGATCTTTGAGGTGCTGCGAGGGTCGGAAATCTAGCCAACTGATTTCAAAAGTTTGTGAAGAACCTTCTTTCAAGCTTTTTGTTTCTTGAGCATACAAATGTGGTTTTTAGAGCAGAAACACTATGCTTGAAGTTAGGACTGGAACTTCATGGGAAGTAGTCTTACTTTCTCCTAAGGTCTATCATTTCCTCTTTTGCAGTGCCAGCCCTGAAAAGGCCAGATATAAATGTATCACATGTTAAGGACGTACTTTTAAATACAACCACAGAAAGACTTAAGCACTTGCTCAAGGTCAGTCTGATTGAGGCAGACCCACACTCTATTTGAGTGCTCCCCTCCCCCCACGGCACCAACCACGGGCGCTTGGATTTCTTCTCTCTAAGGACTGCTGAATAGCGTCACACGACCTTCAAAAGCATCACCCCACTCTCTGAAACACAATGTCCTACAGCAAAAAGGCTGGAAATCAAAGCTCGAGGACCCCCTGCAGTTTTGACAAAGTAGAATTTTTTTTTCCTTTGTGTTCTTGTATGTCCAGCACCCTCAGACTGAAGGTGGTGTCGGCTCGAAGTCACTTACCCAAATCTGAAGCTTGATCCTTTTTTCATTTTTGAATACAGTTTTGACTTTGAAATCAATGCCAACTGTGCTGACGAATGCAGATGTAAAGGAGTCATCTGCATAGCGGAACAGGAAAGATGTCTTGCCCACGCTACTATTGCCAATGATCAGCAGCTTGAACATGTAGTCGAAGTTCTGGTCGGAGGAGTCTTTCTGGCCAAACCTGGCATCTTGGGCAGAGGCCATCTGTGGGGGAAGCAAACATGGATCAGTCTCCCCATTTGATATGAAGCTAGTGGCACACTCATTATTGCCCTTGCCAGAAACAGATGTCAGAGACTCGGGAGGCAAGGGGAGAGCACTCCGCAGTCCCTCTCTGATGATGGTATCCATGGCGATAATTCCCAGCTGGAACACAGAACAGAAAATCTTACAGCTCTTTCCAGCTGTGTTGGTGCTTGTCACTCCTCAGCATCCACAAGCAATCAAAGACACCAAAGGCAGCGTCTCTCAAGGTAACGTGAGAAGCAAAGATATGAGGAATTGCAGGGCATGCGGCCTCTGAAATATAGCAATCTCAGTTAGGGAGACTCCAAAGTGACTGAGCAAGGCTTCTCTTTAAAAAAAAAAATGTGAATTACTAGTCTTTCCTAGAAAAACAAATTCTAAGCACATCTCTATTTCATCTATTACCATATCAAGTCAGCATCCCAAACGCACATGTCAGTGTCCTTAACATTAAAAAAATGATAATTTATACGATTCCAGATGTACCTCATATATATACGAGGTGAGTACCTTATCCCTATTAAAATGAGAAAACTGAGCTTCAGAAATATGAGATAATGTCCTCAAGCTTTTACAGATGGTAAGTAATAGAGTCAGGATCCAAAAACCAGGCAATCAGTGCCAGGGAACACATTCCTGACCTCTGACCTATTTCCTGGTAACATCACAGAAGGAAGCACAGTACTCCAGAAGGCCACGCGGGAAGCATTTCTTGAGAAGCATGGTGAAGCCTACCCGGTTTCAAGCACTGATTCTGTTACTTACCCTCTGTGCGAGCTTGGCTTTATTTATTTTCAGTTTTCTTCATTGTATACATGTTTTACTGTCTGGGAGTTCTGTACATGCTTCGTGGGTTTGTTTTAACTGATATGCTACAGTTTCCCTATCGCATGAAATGAAAACGATGCAATACCTACCCAGGATGCTCGTGAAAGTAATAGAAAATATTTCTGTAAATCAGATCTGTAACTCGGTATAGAATACAAATTGGTTTCTTGTTACGTATAAATGCCTTAAGCAGATGCCTATCTGTCCTCATTTTCTTGATAATCTTAATATCCACCAAAGCAGTATTGTATCACTCCTGAGTACCACTCTGCTTCAGGAGAGAAAGGAAAGAAATCCATTTGCTTCAGCACCTTTCTGATGCTATGAATTATTTGGCAATTGCTCTGCTAGTCAATGTGCTAACCACAAAGAACATATGGCAATTTAAACTATACCAAAATTAAACAGAATTTCCAAATGTAGTTTCTTAATGACACTAGCTACATTTCAAGCATACACCCCCCCACCCCCCAACACACACACACACACACACACACACACACACACACACACACACACACACCCAGCAGCTAATGCACTGGAGAGTTACATACAAAATCTTGGAATCATTGCAACATGTTCTGCTGAAAATGCTAGGCTACAGTCTGTTCTCCCATAAAAGCTGCTTAATATTTATTATATCTCCTCTTGAGAAACTATGAGTTCATAGAAACTATGGCTTGGTGTTCCTGAGGCGGAGGCTTCCTTCTCCATCTGAAGTGGTAAGATTGGGAAAAGCACTCTAAGAGGAGACTAATGTAAATTCTCGAGGGACCTTGGCATTGCCACAATTGTCATGGCAAAAACAATACGTCACCCAGTGATCTCTGACTCTTACATGTATTCACATCCTGATATCCCACATTCTGTGATACAGCTACAAGAGCATCCATAGAGGGCTGAGACAATGTACTCGGACCTCTTAAATGTGAGTGCAATGTGCTCCCTTTCTTTATAAAGTATCAAGCACCAGGTATTTTGTTGAAACGACAAAGAAAAAAAAAAGAAAAAAAAAGAAATAATCCTAGGAGAAGGGACAAAAGGAGCTCCAGCAGAAGGTAGAGTGACAAAAATAATAAACAGCACTTGGGCTCATCTAAAAAACCTAGGATGACATTAATTGCCTGAAGCCAGGAGAGACAGAGTTGAGGAGGGACTCACATCAGAATGAGAAGAAGGAAAGGAGATGAGAGAATATCTACCGTTTTCCACACACTCATTGCCTACAGGAGAGTGCGATTATTTGTATAGAAGTGGCACAAAGAGAGTATCGGTGTGTATCACAAGAGTTAAAATTCTGATCGAACTTCACATTCCCTAAATTAATACAGACTCAAGGATATACAAGGATATTCCTTGTATATCCACGTGATCACAACAACACATCCAGAGAGCAGAGACAATATGTAGGGAGTGTTTACTAGTGCATGAACCCAGACCCATAAACAGGCAACATCACCTCCCCTGGTAGCTGTGCAACACACATGCCCAGGTAATCCACACCCAGCACTGGCAGCCAAAGGTAAAGTTGGCTCACAGCCCATCAGTTTAACGAGAAGCTTCTTGAGCAGTGATGGCTTCCAACACCCTAATAGAAAGGTAATTGAGTTGTAGTTTTTGTTGTTGTTGGGTTTTTTTATTTTGGTATCGCCATTCCTACAAATGAAGCCCATTCACAAATTACTAGCCTTCCGTGAGATGCTACTCCAGCAGCTCTGCAAATGCCCTTCTTTCACAAAGCCCTTGATGTCTTGACATGAACAGGTTTAAATTCTGGGATCAGGCTGGAGGATATGCAGCTAAGCCACAGTCGGAAAAGAGTTTAGTTTCCACAGGACGGCTCAGTCTCCTTGCCTACCACATTCTGCAGCCTGTAGCCCTGCGGTGGCACACCAACAGGGTCATGTGTTCTCGGGGCTGCCTTAGAAGAAAGTGTGGAGCGAGCTACCGCTATTCATAAAGGGCTGTTGATTCTACAACTGAAGCAATGAAGGCATCATGAATGGAGAGAGTTTTAAACATAATTGTGAGGATGGAGTTGGAAACATAAGCTTTCCCTGGGAAGCACCAGCTGTAAGTCTAAGGGTTAATAAAGCTGGTGTGTTGAACCACAGCATGGAGAGACACTCAGTGTGAGGGCAGTGGCCCTGGGGGACTATGCATATCAGAGCAATTCTCCTGAGGGCAGGAATTTTTATTTTATTTTCTCATTTCTTCCTTTCTTCTTTGTTTCTTCAGTTTTCCATATATATATATATTTTTTAGATAGTCTAGTGTATTGTCTAGACTGGCTTCAGACCCTTGGCTCAGAGGTGTCTTTCTGCTTCAGCTTCCCTAGTGGGGAATTGATTAGAAAAAAAAAATTTCAATTCCATTTACTTTTAAACATTGTTTTTCTTTTTCTATTGTTTTGGATTTATATCATCAGCAAAGCTCACAAATTCACAAGTGTCTGCAGCAAACACATGCATGTTTTGTAAAAATTCAGACTAATCAAATAAATCCTGGCTCAGAAGATGAGCAAGAGTCATCTTCAGTCTTGCTAAGAACGGAGACTCATTTGTCCACTCTATAGCAGCGTGGAAGGTCACTGGGGCTTTCAGCATCTATGTGAACTTACTGACGCGTCTGCATACTAAGCTGTGTGAATATTCCAGAAACATTATGGAAGAATAGAACTGAGCCTTGAAATCATGGATAGGCAGGCAAGTCGGATTTCATGGACCATGTATTAGTAACTCCTTCAACAGCATTACTTTTGAAGCTTAAAAAAGGAAAGACTCCTGGGGCTACAAAGGCTTTTCAGCGCAGTGCAGTGCACCGGCAATGTCAGGAGTCCCATTTGTGCCATCTGCACATCTCTCAGTGTCCACTGCACACAGTAGGTCCACTGTCGTACACAGTCTGCTTCTGCTCCACTGCGAAATGACTCCACGTGCTGTGAAGCTCTTCTTGTTTTGAGTTGAAGTACACCTCCCTGTAGGCTCTGCCCAAGTGATTTTGACTCAAGTCATTGTCTAAATCACTTCTCCTGGAATTAACTAAAAACCCAAGATGCTTTGCACAGCTATGAGGGATTTTTAGTTAATTGAGTCATTTGACTTAGGAAGACCGACTCTAAATCTCTGTCACTTTGGGTTAGTAGACAAATCTCTAATCTGGGCCAAAGCTTCCCATGGCAGCCTATATAAAGGACAAGGGAGAAGGAAGCATTTGCTTTTTGCCTGCTTGTTCTTGAGCTTGATGGCAAGTTCATTCCTTCACTGGCGTCAGAGGTATATCTTTGGAATTCCAACATAAGCACTAAAGACCAGCCAAGACATCTACCCTTGTAGACTGAATAAGTAGTAAATTCTTGGGCTTTCCTTTGGTATATAGCTATTGTTGGACTAGCTGGATCACAGCCTGTAAGCCACTCTAATACCATATATATGTGTGTAAGTATGCATATATGCGTGTGTATGGATAAACAAATATACACACACATATATTCATTCATTAAATTCATTCATTCTACCAGTTCTGTTTCTCAAGGAAATCCTGAGTAATACAAGTTAATTCATCTTCGTCTTTGTGTAACAACAAGAATGACATTTGAGCTTCTTCCTTGCAGTAGCAGAAATTATCACTCCAATTTTGAAGATAAAGTTAAAAATATGGAAAGGAAGGCCAAGAGAAGGCAACCATACATTTACAGGCTTGCTTAACTTCTCAGCTTGAGTACTGAGCTGCCTGGACCAAATGTCTCCTACAAGAGTTAGCCACAGCTTAGCTGGTTCATTCTAGTCTCATCATATCTGAACCTTAAATGACAAAGAATATGAAAGAGGTAAGTGAACCTCTCCTAAAAGGAACATCTATTCCTTTGTTAAAGAGAAGCATATATTGTGCATATATAATATAATATAATATAATATACAATGAGGATGTGCCCTCCATCTTACACTGAAGTGTATATTGATAAACATATAAAAAATTAAAACCATAATTAGGGTGAAAAGTGCATCAAATATACCAACCTTACCCAGCAAACACAGTATATTGTATATCAGTTGTCTACCCTCAGGATTACGTGGCTTAAAGGGAGCAGGGGTGCTGATGATCAGTGTCAAAAGAGTGTCACCCCTCAC